TATTCATTTCAGTTAACCAAAACAACAAAGCTCACTTCTGAATCTGCCAAACACTACAGGTGTCGTGGTGTTCGCTCATTTGGCGGCGGTGCCAGACACCATCAACGGAGTCGGCACAGCAACGCTGTTCGTTGATTGTGTTTTCCGAAAACACGGACTCCCAGAGTCGATTGTCTCTAATAGAGACCCCCGTTTCACGGGAAAATTTTGGTCGACTATCCTCAAGGTGCTAGGCACCAAGTTGGGTATGTCGACAGCGGGTCATTCGCAGACCGATGGCCAAATCGAAAAGGCGAATCGCGTCATCGAAGATGTTCTTCGCAGCGTCTGCGCTGAAACGCCAGGGCGCTGGAATGCCATGTTGCCAATCTTAAAGTTTGCACTGAACAATGCAGTGCATTCGTCTACCGGCTTCACGCCGCTCTACGTGAGCGGGCTGGTTCACCCTTGCGTCCCGCTGACACAGCCACCCCATAGCTCAGGGCTTGGCGGGGGAGGAATAGCCGAACGGCTAGCTGATGTTCTTGTCTACCAGACTGAGTGTCCTACGACACGTTCGCGATGCGATGGCTGAAAGCCAAAACCTGCAAAAAGAATATGCAGATGAAAAAGGAAGATGCAAAGTGGAAAGCTTTAAGGTCGGGGACCTGGTTGTATCAAATTCTAAAAACCTGCCTACACATGCAGCCTCTGCTATCTTCCGGACGACTTTTCGTCCACGGTTTATTGGATAGTTTAAGGTTGTGGCCAGGTGGGGCCTAGCGTATACGCCAAACCTTCTCAAAAATATGCTCACCCACCCGGTGTTTTACGTGGGCTTGCTCAAGCCGTACCGGGATCCGATGCAAGTGAACGTGGAAGCGTTGGAGACGGACCGGATCCCACGGGCCATCGGCCACCCAGTAGTTGAACCAGCAACTTGTTCTGAGCACGGAGTGCAGCATCCTCCATCTTTAATGGCGCCAAGCGCTCCACCGTCGCATGCAGCGACGCATTCGCCTGCTCCACGG